TCTGTCGTGCTTACTAAAAATTCAAGAAACATTATTTGGTGTGTGGGGCATGCTTGTAATCCCAGCTGTACTGGGGAGTGAGGCAGGAGAATTGCTTGAACCAAGAGGCGGAGATTGCAGTGAGCTGAGATTATTGCCACGCCTCCAGCTGGTGACAGAGTGGAGATGCCATTTCAAATTTTAAAAAATAAAAATAATTTTTTTTTTTAAATGACGCTTTGTTGGCTGAGCGTGTGGCTCACGCTGTAATCCCAAGACATTGGGAGGTCGAGGCAGCGGATCACGAGGTTAGGAGTTCGGGAGGGACAGCCTGGCTAACATGGTGAAACCTGTTTACTGAAATAAAAAGAATTAGCCTGGCTTGTTGATCCGTGTGATCCACACTCACCAGACGAGAGAATGTCTGAACAGAGCACAGTTGCAGTCTAGATGTGCCAGTGCATCCCAATAAACTCTGGGCAACAGAGCAAGACTCTGTCTCGGTGGGAAAAAAAAAAAGTGCATCTTTGTCGAGGAGAAGCACCAACACGACTTAAGAAATGCTCTCTAAGGTGCAGTAGCAATGTATTTACTATTTGCAGGTGCCGCGCGTTATTGTAGAGCTAGTGGAAGAGCGTAAAACGTGTATATGGCAACGTTTTCTCATGTTGGCCACACTAGTCTTGAACTCCTGGCCTCAAGTGAGCCACCCACCTTGGCCTCCCAAAGTGCTGGGATTATAGGCATGAGCCACCATGCCCAGCCCAAAGTGCACTTTTAATCAAGACAAACAGTCACACATTTATATATATCCTAAAGTCCTAGTATAAAAACTGCGACTGAACTGATGGACTAGAATAAAAATAATAAATCCTTAGATCCATGCCAGCCTCTCACAAATTATCTGAATTTCATAAAAATATGAAGTGTTAACACAGAGATGGAATGGCAACTGACTTTATGAAAGCTCGCACATTGAAACTAAACAAAATCTCAAGCTGTGGTGTGGAGCTATTCTGTTACCAGGCAGCACCCCCTCACCATATAAATAGCAGCTAGCTACTGGTTTCTTAAAGCCAAACTAATGATGGTTTTGAAGATCAACCTTGTCTAACCTTGCTTCCAGCCAAAGTTAATTAAAAATTCTTTATTTAGTATATTCTTTCATTCAGAGTAAGCTTGATAAACATAGGTTGTTTTAAAATATTATAGTAATGGTTTATTGATAGGTAATTTGGTTAGTAGAGTTATAAATACAAAAAGGGAAAGGTTACCAGAAATAAGACATTATTTCTAACAAATCTTCAGGAAAATCTTGATTATTAAAATCCCTTTTATCTTACAAGTGTTGCATATACAGTTTTAGCTCTTCATAGCCCTCTACCAATAAGGCACCTGCAATAGTAAATAATTTGCTACTGCAGCCTTAGAGAGCATTTCTTAGAGGTCTGTTGGTGCTTCTCCTGACAAAGTGCACTTTTTTTTTCCCCCGAGACAGAGTCTTGCTCTGTTGCCCAGAGTTGGAGTGCAATGGCACAATCTCGGCTCACTGCAACCTGTGCTCCTGGGTTCAAGCAATTCTGCCCTGTCCTCGGCTCCCCGAGTAGCTGGGATTACAGGGTAGCTTCACTTACCAGCCAGCCTAGATGTTTTGTTAGTTTGTTGTAGTAGAAGATGCTGATCAAGGGTGGTGAGTGGTTTTTTTTGTGTGTTTTCACCATTTTATAAGGCCAAAGCCTGTTTTCCTCGCTGTATACGTCGGCTTATACCGCTGAGCGTGGGGCCTTCAATCGCCTGTATATGCTCCACAGCACATTGGGCAGGTCAGAGCAGCCTGCCTCGACCCCCCAATGTGCTGGGATACAGGCGTGAGCCACCACGCTCAGCAACAAAGCGTACTTTAAAAAAAAAAATTATTTTTATTTTTTAAATTGAAATGGAGTCTCACTCTGTCACCCACGCTGGAGTGCAGTGGCATAATCTCAGCTCACTGCAATCTCCGCCTCTTGGGTTCAAGCAATTCTCCTGCCTCAGCCTCCCAAGTAGCTGGGATTACAAGCATGCACCACCACACCAAATAATTTTTGAATTTTTAGTAGAGACAGAGTTTTCTCATGTTGGCCACACTAGTCTTGAACTCTGGCCTCAAGTGAGCCACCCACCTGGCCTCCCAAGTGCTGGGATTATAGGCATGAGCCCATGCCCAGCCCAAAGTGCACTTTTAATCAAGACAAAGTCACACATTTATATATATCCTAAAGTCCTAGTATAAAACTGCGACTGAACTGATGGACTTAGAATAAAAATAATAATCCTTAGATCCATGCCAGCCTCTCACAAATTATCTGAATTTCATAAAAATATGAAGTGTTAACACAGAGATGGAATGGCAACTGACTTATGAAAGCTCGCACATTGGAAACTAAACAAAATCTCAAGCTGTGTGTGGGACCTATTATGTTACCAGGCAGCACCCCCTCACCATATAAATAGCAGCTAGCTACTGGTTTCTTAAAGCCAAACTAATGATGGTTTTGAAGATCAACCTTGTCTATTGCCCTACTCGTGACTCAAAATGGAAGACTTTTCCTGTCTCCTGACCCTTTTTCTTTTAGCTTATTTGAGAAGAGCCCTGAAATGAAAAAGGATCATTGAGTGAAATATAATCTCCTGGAGTATCATCTCCTTACTGTAGATACCCCTAACAACAGGAGGCTTTGACTCAGCCACATTCCAACAGAGGTTCTAAGTCAGTATCCTGTAAGGTTTCCATAGTCCTGGAGAACTTCACGCAAACTTCTTCTTGGTGGCTGTGAACCTCTCCATGTACTAAAAAACATGAAAGAATACATCAGGGGTATTTTGGCATGAGTAAATAAATAAAAGCCTAACTGTTTGTGTGTGTTTTTTTTTAAATTTTGGTTTTTATTGCATGTGGTTTTTCATTTCCTACAAAATATAACTGCTCTAAATGCAAAATTAAGTACATAGTTTTGGCCGGGTACAGTGGCTCACACTCGTAATCCCAACACTTTGGGAGGCCAAGGTAGATGGATCGCTTGAGCCTAGGAGTTTGAGACCAGCCTGGGCAATATGGTGAAATCTCATCTCTACCAAAAATAGAAAAATGAGGCATGGTAGCGCCTGTAGTCTCAGCTAATCAGGAGGTTGAGGTGGGAGGATCACTTGAGCTGAGATCCTGCCACTGCACTCAAGCCGGGTGACAGAGCGAGACCTTGCCTCCAAAAATAAAAATAAAAATAAAGCACATAGGGCTGGACGTGGTGGCTTACACCTGTAATCCCAGCACCTTGGGAGGCTGTGGCGGGCAGATCACTTGAGCTCAGGAGTTTGAGACCAGCTTGGCCAACAAGGTGAAACCCCATGTCTGCAAAAATTAGCAAGGCATACTGGCGTGCAACTGTGATCCCAGCTACTAAGGGGGCCGAGGGATAAGAATCGCTTGAGCCCGGGAGGTGGGGGCTGCGCCAGTGAGCTGAGATTGCACCACTGCACTCCAGCCTGGGCAACAGAGTGAGACCCTGTCTCACACACAAAAATATATATATATATCTATGTGTGTGTGTGTGTGTATGCGTGTATATATATGCGTGTATATATGTATATGTGTGTGTGTATATATATCTCTCTCAAAAGACAAAGATGAAGACAAAGATGCTTTACAATAAGCTGTCTCTACAGAAAAGGTCATCTTGGTACACCACCATTCAGCCGATGCTTTGAATCTACTTCCAAAATGGGGAAGAACAAATCTGTTGACATTAGCTATAAACATTTCTGTGGATTACTTCACCATTGTCTTCTCTGGGGTAGTGACTAGAAATGTAGAAGTACATTAATTCGTACCTTATCATAGCCTTCCAGTTCTCGAAGTTTCTTTATTTCAAAAAGATTGCCTTCCACAGCAAGCAGACAGATCTGGGAATCACTGAGGATGCTCTGGGGAAGCATGCTGAGCTCAAGACAATTCTCTTCCAGGCGAAGAATTTTAAGGCGAGGACAGCAAGATATCTTCACTGAGATCTGAGATATCTATTGAAAAACCACAAAAGAATAACAGGAAAAAGCATAAGCACTACACTGGTTACTTTTAGTACATTAAAACAAAACAAAAAATCTTTACTTGACTATTTGTTCTAGTTTTCCCCTCTTTTACCGCCTCCATTTTCTCACTGCCTACTCACTCCAGAAGCCTCTGTTATCTAGCTTCTGTTACTACGCCCCCACTTAAAAAAAAAGCTTTTATGAAGGTCACTAGTGGCTTTTTGGGAACAAAATTTTCTGATGATAAAAGCACTGTATGTCCATTATAGAAAATCTGAAAATCACAGGTTTAAAGAAAAAAGTTGACCTAGAATCCACCACCCAGAAATAACCACCATAAACATTTTGGTACATTTACTGCCAATGTTTTTTTTTGTTTGTTTTTTTTTTTTTGAGACGGAGTCTCGCTCTGTCGCCCGGGTTGGAGTGCAGTGGCTGGATCTCAGCTCACTGCAAGCTCCGCCTCCCGGGTTTATGCCATTCCCCTGCCTCAGCCTCCCGAGTAGCTGGGACTACAGGCGCCCGCCACCTCGCCCGGCTAGTTTTTTGTATTTTTTTTAGTAGAGACGGGGTTTCACCGTATTAGCCAGGATGGTCTTGATCTCCTGACTTCGTGATCCACCCGTCTCGGCCTCCCAGAGTGCTGGGATTACAGGCTTGAGCCACCGCACCCGGCCTACTGCCAATGTTTTATGTGTACATAGATACTGACCACTTTACTACCAAATTCAAGGATCCATCGTCCTCAGTCCCTATTGCATTTAACTGTACTATCTATCCCTTCCTTAAAACCCCTTCTTTTTGTCCTTTTTGGTTTTTCTTCCTACCTTTTGGATTATTCCTTACTTCTCTTGTTTTTATAGGCATTTTTCAAGTAGCTGTCCCTAATACTTGATATGTCATCTTCTCTCTCAACTTTTCCTAGAAAGCTCATTCATTAAAGTCCATCACTTTTGTTATGACCTCAAGATCTGTATCTACACTCTTACCTTTATTCTGCTCCCATGTTTCCAACTTTCATTAAGGCATTTCCATTTATAAGATTCACCACAGACAACTTAGCATATCCATTCTCAATAACACCACTGTTCCTTTAGGCCCTCAAGCTCAATACCAAGCAATTGTCTTTGACTCACTCCTTTTGCCAGTTAAATACTAAAAGTCACCACATTCTTTGATTCTGCTTAGTATCATCTCAGATCATCACTTACTAGAAATGATGGGAACTTTAGTAAGTTCAATAACTAGCAATGCAAGTTCTCAGACCTCATCCCAGACCTACTGGATCAGACATACTGAGGGCAGGGGCTAATGATCTCTTTAAACAAGCTTTTCTGGTTATTCTGATGCATACTAAAGTCAGAGAACCACTGAATAAAGGTACTAGCAGAGGTGAATGTGGAGCAAATCCTCGACTGATACGTGCTGCTTAACTGATTCAGTTTTTCCCCCCCAAGAAGCTCTATAACATATAAGAATATCCACTTAAGGTAAAAAACATGAGGCCAATCCCTCAAAGACAGACTGAATTTCATCATGATGTAAAATCACTACAATCTAGAAAAGGAATAGCTACGTGCAGCTAGTGGCTACTTTAATGGATCATGCAGATCTAGAAATACAGACACTAAAAAACTAAAGGCCATCCAGTCTCACAGTGTTGAATGTTTCATCACTTGTGCCTTCATGCCTAGACAAGAATGTGTGGATTGGTTTTCCAGACAAATATTAATTGAAAAGCTGCCAAAGTAATGGAAACAAATTTCAAATATAATTAAAGCTGTATAACAGTGAAATGGGCTATCTCCAGAAAGCCTATCACTTAATATTCTTCAGCAAAAATAGAAGACACACTTAACAAAGATGTCAAAATCCCCCCACAAAATGAAAAAATTGAACTACCTCTGACACCTGACTCTGAGAACCTCAGTTTAGGCTTCATTTCCACATTCTATCCCTGACATAGCTCCTGGCTAGCTGGTTCAGGGCATGTTTGAGGAGGATCTGAAGAATTCTTCAAGATTTGTGAGACAGTAGTTTAACTTTTGAAATGATCTCTCCCTGTTACCTACCTCATCCTCCCGAAAACACCTACACAACTAACACATCCAGTGTCTCAACTAATTCCATGGCACTTTGGGTCTTGAAATTAGTTCAGCTTACAGAAGAAACCTCTCATCTAGCCTCTGATACTTAGCTCTGTGATGGCAGCTTAGGAAACAAGAGGTTAAGAGGTATCAGGAGACCATAAACCCACACATACGCTGTAGGGGAAAAAACCTTAAGCTCTAGACCTGATTCTGGTTGAGGTTGAGTTCGATGACTTGCAGCTCTCCCACTGTGTCAGGTATACTTCGAATCTGGTTCTTAGAGAGATCCACCACATCCAGGTGCCGCAGGCTACAAAGTTGGAGAGGTAATGCTCCCAGTTGGTTCCCAGAGAGGCTCAGGGTCTTGAGGGCAGAGAGTTGCCCAAAGGTAGACGGCAGCTCTCTAAGGTGATTGTTGTTCAGGCTTAGCGTCTCTAGTTTTTTCAGATTGCATATCTCATCAGGCAGAACAGCTGGCAAAGAAAATGTTTTTAAAACCTGAATCTGATAGAGCTGAAAACAACTTTGATGAAGTTTCTAAAGACTATATGGCAGCCTGCTTCGCCTCTTGTTAATATATGTAAAATTCCCACATGTGCCATTTTTAGGTATTGCATTTTACCAACATAGTCTTTAGAAGGTGAGGGTGCCATCAAAATGCAGGTGAGCATTTGTGTGTATAATGGACTCCTTTTGTAAAGGGGTCCAAGGCACAATTTGACAGCAATTTTGTGATATTTGGAAGATCCTCCCCTTCCCATCCATCCCCCATTCCAAGTTAGGTAGCTTTGTTTACATTACATCCCCAAAATGTTCTTCCCTTTCAAGTCCAAATTAACCCAGTAACAATCATTATAACACCCAAGGAGGCTTATTTTTGACGTAATTACAAGTAGAAAGAAGGCTTCAAGGATTCCGGCATTCTGCAACTTGAGCCCTCCTGCACGGTTTCATAACGAAAACAAAAATCAGCTTGTAAGAGAAAACCACCCCTGGTAACAGCTTATCACTAGAAAAAGCCTCCCAGGCAAGAGCCATACTCAGTTTGTTGTTGTTCAGGGAGAGGCTCTTCAGCAGAGTGAACTTTCCTATCAGCAAAGGCGGTAGGCTCTCGATCTTGTTGTTGGACAAGTCGATGGTCCTGAGATTGCTCGTGAGCTTCTGCAAGTCTGCGGGGAACTGGAGAAAGGAGTTCACAGCGTGGAAAATCCCGCACCGACTAAGTTCGCCGCCCCCGCCGTCCCTCTCCCTTTAAGTTCCCCGGTCGTGTCCCTCCCATTCTCACCTCGGTCAGCCCTCGGTCCTTAAGCTGAAAGACACCAGTTTTCTGCGCCGTTTCCACATGAGCGCGGAGCGCACTGTTTCCCATCCTAGCGCCGCGGCTCAGGTCCCTGCGGGAAGGAAGCGCAGCTGTCACCGCCCAGTCCACCCGGTCGGCCTCCCGCCCCAGCTCTCATCTCCCGCCGATCCCTGGCTCCTGGGGCCCGACCCAAGAGTGGCAAGGAAGAGACGGAAGAACAGACAGCCCGACCACCAAGCCCTGCCGCCTTTGCAGCTCTGCGGAGGCCAGGCGCCTCTGGGAGCCTACGGAAGATCAAGGAACCCCGGACTCGCCTCCCACCGCTCAGCTGCCGGATGGCTCCGCAGGTGAAGACCCAGGACCCGCAGTAGCCGGGATGCGCTCCCCGGCTTAGCCCCGGGCGGGACCGCCCTGTGACGTCATCGAGCCGCGCCGTGCGTTCGCCCTGCGTTCCAACTCACTCTTGGCGCCTTCGCGGGAGGTGAGTCCGAGCCATGGCGGCTGCCAACCCCTGGGACCCGGCGTCCGCGCCTAACGGCGCTGGGCTAGTGCTAGGCCACCTCATAGCTTCGGGGATGGTCAATCAGGTGCGTGGGGGCGGCTGTGGCGTCATCAAGGGGGTGCCCACGATGGCAACAGAATATGGCTGTGAGTTGGTGCTGCTGGCTGTGGGAGTGGTGAGGGTCCTGGTTGGGGTCTGTACTATAGTAATAGATCCCCTTCCAGGCAACAGCCGCGACCGTTCTGCCGTGGGTGCTTGGAAAACGGGGATCTGAGTAGATGGTGTTTAGGGTAGACTGTGTTTTGAGTGTCTGTAGGGTAAATTTGTCCCTGGCCCGTTTGTGGCAGATTAGACTGCTGTTACTGGCCTTTTTTTCATCCAGTGATACTGCCTCTAGACTGTAGTGTAAGGCGGGGATAGGAAATACGGATCGTTACGTCCCCTTGCGGAACAAGCATTACCAACAACGCTCGTTTGTGGGAAGTATTGAATCGTATTTGGGGCGGGAGGTACTGGGTAGAGAAGAGCGCTAGAAGCTCTTTTTTCGTGTTTTTATTTTATTTTTTTTTTATTTATTTTTTGAGACAGTCTCGCTCTGTCGCCCAGGCTGGAGTGCAGTGGCGCGGTCTCTGCTCACTGCAACCTCTGCCTCCCGGGTTCTAGCGATTCTCCTGCCTCAGTCTCTCGAGTAGGTGGGACTACAGGCGCGTACTGCCACGCCCAGCTAATTTTTTTTGTTTGTTTTAATGTTCAGTAGAGACGAGTTTCACCGTGTTAGCCAGGATGGTCTCGATCTCCTGACCTCGTGATCCACCCGCCTCGGCCTCCCAAAGTGCTGGGATTACAGGCTTGAGTCACCGTCCTCCATTCAAGTTCCAAGGTCTTATCTTTTTAGCCAATACTTTTTTTTTTTTTTTTTGCCTGTAAAGATGCCAAGGCCTGC